TTTTCGATATATCGTGCAGCCCTAATATATATATATATATATATATATATATAAATATAAATATAAATATATATTAGTAAATATATTAGTAAATATGCGTTAAATCAAAAGTGAAAGTTAAGACAATTGTAATGTTACAAAAGATTATATTTCAAATAAATGCTTCAGGTTAAAAAAATAAATGTTCTTTTGAACAAAACAAAGTGTATCATGGTTTTCACAAAACTATTAAGCTGCACAACTGTTGTCAACATTAATAATAAGAAATGTTTTTTGAGCAGCAAATCAGCATATTAGAATGATTTCTGAAAGGTCATGTGACACTGAAGACTGGAGTAATGATGCTGAAAATTCAGCTTTGCATCACAGGAATAAATGACTATTAAAATATATTAAAATACAAAATTATTTTAAATTGTAATATTTCACAATATTACATTTTTACTGTATTTTTAATCCTTTAAATGCAGCCTTGGTGATCTAGAATGAAGACGACGACAACGACTTTTTTTTTTTTTTAAAGACTTTTTTTAACACAATACTCAGTACTCACAAAAAAAAAGTGCATATCTATTGACCAAACTGACTGTTTTGGTACTAACACTTTGCTAGTTCTGCCGGAGCCAATAAAAATATAGCCAGAAATAGTCTAAGATATTAGCAAATTATATGCTAGGCATATCTGTCTTTGACTGACATAAATATGGTAATCATTCAATACATGTATCAAGGTATCGTAAGTCCATTTTGTAAGAGGAGCAAAAAGAGTATGTCTATTGACATATATGTGGGGTAATGCTTCAGATTTGTCCTTTTCAGGCTCAGTATTTTATACTGTTTTCTGATGGAAATGCCTTATGTGTCGGTTTTTTGAAAACAGCATTTAAAATGGTAAATTTGCTTTCACTACCGCCACTGACTGTTCAGCAGCTGCATTTTTCTTTCTCTTTTCAAGTCAATATTCCTGTGTAACAGTAAGGTCTCTTCTAAAAATACAAGTGAGGGAGAGTGAAAGTCATACATCTGCAAGTTACTGAGTGTTCAACACAAGATGCACACATGAGCAGCTCTGGGAAGTCTCCGAGCAGCCTCTGGTTCCCATGGCAACTGCAGGGCGGTCTCTATCGGCTCATCTGAGAATAGGTAAAGTAAATCTGCATGCATCTGGCCGCCCGCCAGCGTCTCGAATGAAAGAGCACTTTGAATGGCTGCCAGGTTTGGAGGAGGAGAGAGGCTGTCAGGCCTGCTTAATGTTGGCAGTTTGTACTTAGCAAGACTTGCCTTTTCCCAGAATCCCTCACTCTGGCAGCCCGCCAGCCACTTAGCGGAAGCTGAGAGTTAACCCCTGCGATAAGCTGGTGGAAAGCTGAATGTGGAAAACTTTCCATGCAGAGTGTGTGTGTCCGCACATGTATGTGGCTCTGTGTGTGTAGGTGGGTGGGTGATGTGCTGTTCAGTGTGTGTGTGTGTGTGTGTGTGTGTGTGTGTGTGTGTGTGTGTGTGTGTGTGTGTGCGAGTGAGTGTG